TCAATTGTTTCGAATTCGTGCTGGCCAATCGGAGCGCAGTTGTGATATAGCAGAATAGTTTTCAAACAAATTTCGTCTCTATTTCTGGTTATATACTCGATGATTGATGACAACGGATGACCTTGAGTACATTCATAATCGATGAGGTTCTATTGTGATGCCTTTAGGATCTTTTCGAAAACATTGGGAAGACGTCAATTAATATATGGGTCGAACCATTTAGATTTATAGTCGAGCTAGATCATATTATGATTCCAGTTTATGGTTTAAAGTGGCTGAGTAGATTACATGAAACCACGCTGAAAGTAGAATAGCCATTTGTAATGTATCATCAAGTATATAACCAGAAATAACGAATTCTACCACTTGTCCTTGTGAAAAAGTTCGCCCAGGGAAGTAGGTACAACCACCTTACCTATTTCTGCCGCTAAGCAGTAATGTGCATTACTGCGTTCCTTTTTTTATAAGTGAGGGTGCTAATGAAATTACAGGCACATACAGGTGACAAGCGCAGTGCTCCAGATCTTAGATCTTTGCTATTTAAAGCTCAGAGTGGCACTGCAACTGCTTAGGATAGGCGTGTCGCTTATCGCCAGGTCCCGTTACTTGGTATTTATCATTAAAAAATGCGTAATGTTCATTATCTAGTATAAGCAGAAAGAGAAAGCCCTATCTTTTTCAGACAATATGTTTGGTTATTTTGACAACTCTTCTTGGTTCCTGGAGTACAGATATCTCGTTCCCTGTAATGGATTTTGGGCTTTAAACCTACGCCATATAGTATAACATTATTCTACATAGGTACACTTTCGGACACACAATGTGAGTCACTTTGTATTTTTATCTTAAAGGGCTAGAATACAAAAACATAATTATATTCGAAGAAAACGTCCTCCCCGGTTTTAGAAATTCTAAATTTCAACTAAGACTTAGGGAAATGACATATACTCGTATCAATTTCCAAATTGCATAATAGTTTTCGATCAATCAAACATTGTTTAAGCTTAGGGCATTTAGTACTGAAATTTGACGACCTTCGTGGTCGGGTGGCTTGCGCACTTTGTTGTTCTTATGGTTTCGCCATCTCTGAGTTCGATCCTCGGCCGGGTAGAAAAACTAACTTTTCTGTATTGTCTCGGGTTTGGGTGTTTATGGTATCGTCGTTGTTTCCGATTTCTATAACACATGTGCTTTATGTACTTATTTCGGGATTAGAGTAACGTGTTGCCTAATGTTTATTTATATATTATTATTATTTATATATTATATTATTATTATTATATATTATTTAAATGCAAGGTATACGAATTTTATATCCGGACGTGTCAAAAAATTACGTGACCTAGCCAAAACCATAAAACGTCTGCATGAACTCCATAGTAATTTATAGGAAGCAATCCATACATCATCATGGTTCGTAGGCCTAAGCTATCAAAAGAGAGCGGATATCTCGAAAAATGTTCGTCCGTTCATAAATTCCACACGCCCGTAACATATTTGTTAACCCTCCTTCAATTTAAGCCTTCTGCTTTTCTGTTCCATAGAACGTAAAAGCGAAAAGATGCGGACATACACTTAGAAAACAAAATATTTCTCAGTGTTTGTGACTGTAATGACTTAGTGTTGCAACCTATGATGATGATTAGACACATGATCTTTAAAAATGACTGATAACTTTTGTAATGATTGATAATTTGTGAGCTTTTTGTGTATTAGGTATATATACAAGAAGATAAATGCAATAGAGTGCTATGTATACAATATATACAAAAAGATAATAACAGTAGTATGCCAGACAACCACACCTATTGCCTGGTCTTAAACAGAGGAATTCCCTGTACTATGAGTACCAGCGTAAAACAGAAGACACTTAAATCACTATCCAGAACACCCAGACCTAAACAAATTTAAAAAAGTTCATTTCCCAAATTGGTCACCAGGAATCGAACCCGGTACCTCATTATCCAGTACCCAAAAGTGAAAACCGGCCAACGTGATCGTTCATCTAGGTATATTACAGTAAAATTTGAAAACCTTGTTGTATAGTAACTAAGGTAATATTTAAAAAAGTTACCGAACAATAGGTGTCATGCAACAGATTTCAATCTTAATTTATTTCCATTTTTCAAGTTAATGACCAGAAAGCTCTAATTTTACTTTATCATATCTCCAAATTTCACCATCTATGTTCATTTAAATGAACGCGCGTGACGTTCGATTATCGCCTCTAGGGTATTGCCTTAAGAGTTATGGCACGTCAATGTAAATTAACGGCTCCAGTTTTCAAGGCGTGATGCCGGGGCAATTTTTCTTCGTCCCACCCTCAATATGTTGCGAGAATGGTGAAATTCGCTATCTATCTTCTCGGGGCCCATTATGGAAATCAGTGCGGTCCGAAGTATCCAAATAAACGCAAATGGACAGGTTTCCATTTGAAAGCTATGAAATTTACAATTATGTTTTTATTACTCTTAGGTAAAAGAGAATTATTTTTTTCTTACCTTAACAAAAGTAAATTCACAAAGATACAAAGGGCTGACATGCATTAAAGGCTTAAATATCAGGACCGGGCTGTATTAAATAGAGGAAATTGGATCCCCGCGACAGGGTGTCCCAAATACTGGGCGCATTCCCCTTTGAAGCTTGCTAGTATATCGGAGAAGTTGTGGGCAATGTACCTGCCAGCCTGATCATTCAGTGGAACCATTATTGTTCGGATATCATTTTACAGAAATAAAGGGCCACATTTCAGTTCGATTGTATTAGAGCTCCTTGTGAAAGAGTTCGTCCAGGGAAGTACGGTCACTATTTCTGCCGCCAAGCAGTAATGTCAGCATTACTGTGTTTCGGTTTTGAAGGGTGCTGGTGAAATTACAGGCGCATGAGACTTGTCAACTAATATCTCAGGGTGACGGCGCAGTAGCAGTGCCCCTCATATCTTTGCGATTTAAAGCTCTGAGTGGCACTGCAACTGTTATGGACAGGCGTGTAGCGCGCGGTGCGCTTACCATCAGGCGCATGAGTTATTCGTCCCGTCACTTGATATTATTAAAAAAAAATTTGTGTATGTTACGCGATTACTCCGATATTTGTGAACTGATTTCAATGTTTTTTTTTTGGTGAACAGGGAGTACCTTAGTAGTGGTCCCATTGAAATTTGAAGAATATATTCCACCTTTAAGGATGACAAGTTAAGAGATGAATCTAGATTTTTTTAATTGAAATAATTTGGTTATATATTATATGAAATAAATGATTCTTTGTGTTTCAAGGAGGTAGATTGTACAATACAGCAAATAAAATACTGTCCATATTTTCCAAGTCTAAGCCAGAGCTTAGGAAGACTGTGACGGGCTGGTTGCTTGCACTCAATTACGAGGAAACTGAACATCTCCTTCGTGTAGTCTATTAACATACACACACACACACACACACACACACACACACACACACACACACACA